TTCATTTTAACAAAAAAAGTACTTTCTTTTCATGATGTAGAAAAAGTATTTTCTTTCATTTCAACAAAAAAAGTATTTTTTTTCATGATTTAGAAAAAATATTTTTTTCATGATGTAGAAAAAATATTTTTTTCATTTCATCAAAATGAGTATTTTCTATCATGATGTAGAAAAGGTATTTTTTTTTATTTCAATAAAATGATTACTTTATTTTCATGTTCCAGAAGGAGTAGTTTATTTTTCAACCAAAAAGGAATATTTTTTTATAGTTATTGAGCATAAATTTCAACTTTATTTTGCGTAAAAATGTAAAGCATCACATTAGTTCATTTGGTTTATGTGAATTTTTAGAAGAATAATTAAATTGTTGAAGAAAATAAAGTCATGAAAATGTTGGGTATTTGGGGAGGGGGTAGCAAGGAAACATGGGGACTTGAAGAAAATAGGTGATGAGAGTAGCATAAAAAAATATTTTTTACTCTCTAACTAAACACTAAAAAATATTTTTCGGAAAAAGTTTTCCACTCACCAACCAAACAAAGGAAAATAAGTGATATTCTATGAAAATATTTTCTAGAAAAATATTTTTCATGAAAAACATTTTCCTTCAAACCAAACATACCCTAACTATAACGTACTTCGCATTACAAATAAGCCATTCACAGACAATGTTATTCTATAAAGCTTTTATCAAGTGATAACGTAGTTGACTACTATTTTTTTTTTTTTTGAAAATCAATATTTTTCACCCAAAATTCAATAGTGCCTTTAATTAGAATTTTTGAGTTTGAATCCTAAAAATAAAGAACTTTTTTTTACAAGAGTACTTTGCTCCCATAGTGAGTCTATCAAATGCGAATCCGAATTCTTCTAACCAGTGAGTTCTAAAACCATTGTCGAGAGGGAAAATGCATATGAAGTATACACGGANTATATATTAAAAAACTACTAAATATTTATGCGTGCTTTATTATAAATCCAATTATTATTATCTTACAATCATTAATTTGGGGTAGGATATTAAATTTGATCTGAATCCAATTATAGAAAAATATATTATTGCTTGAACCTGAAACACGTGTTGTAGGTAAAGATTTTTTGGCCCAAAACTCAAAGTAGGTAGGTTGACGTGAGAATTGAGAAAACTAGCAAAAGTGAAAGTTGTATGACCTTCTATATTCTATCTTTATCCCGCTCGCGAACAATTAAAAAACATTTACGGCAAAAATGATGAAGGCATCAGTGAAAGCTAAATATGAGACGGACAAAGCCGCCGCTACCGGCGCGGCAACTATAGCCTTCAACGCCGGCGATTTTAAGCTCCGTGCTTCTATGACCGATGCTACCGTAGTCAACGGTCCAAGCTTAAACGGCTTAGCTCTCGCTGTTGAAAAACCTGGTTCATTCATCTTCGACTACAACGTCCCCAAAAAGGTGCCGCTTATATCTTTTTTTATTTCCATTTTAAATTCTGTTTACATAAAATTGAACTAATAATAAACTGAATCTCAGATTCTCAGTAGATCGTTCCATAAAATCGTAAATGTTCCGTCAAAAAAAAGAAAACCCTGGATCGTGGCATAAAATTATGCCACTNATATATATATATGATATCACTTAATCATTGTTTAGTTAAATTTGCGGTTTTAAAGTTAAGTTGTTTAAGTTTTTTTGGTGGCAGAAGAGACTACTCTGCCACTTCACAAAAAAAGTAATAGAGAAAGGATTGCTGAATGAATTTAAGTTATATATGCCGTCTAGCGATAGTGTAAAGAATTTTACACCATCTGTGTAATTTAACATGTTTTATCATTTATTTTTAGTTTCTGGTCAGTGCTTATTAAATGTAGTTACCTTTAAGTGACCTGATGGTGTAGAAAATCTTAAACTCGATTGAATTAGCTTATTTTATCTCAATATGAGGGAAAAATACAAAGATTTCTCCTTTTTTTAATGTAACAATAATCAGTGCCGGCCCAAGGGTAAGACTGCTAAAGCAGCTGCTTTGGGTCTCATAATTTTTGGGATCCCAAATTTTTCTAATAGGTTATATATTAATTTATTTTTAGAAGAATATTTAGTGCTTTAAATGAGAAAGTACAAATTTTCATAGTAAAAAAGTAGGATTAAATTGTTGATCATAAATTGAGAAAAAATTTCTTTTTTGGAATCACTCTCTAGACCATAAATTGAGAAATGATTCGATTATTAATTCATAATTCAAAAAAGGTTAAAATTTTAATACAGTCCCACAACGTGTATATCTCAAGAGAAATTAAATGGATTAGATAAAATTATTAATAACTTTGCATATGAAAAACTAGAGATACAGAATTTAAATGAAATTATATATGAATTTTTTCTTTTATATAAAAAAAGGGCCTCTCGTTGAATTTTTGCTGTAGGCCTCCATATTTATTGAGCCGCCCCTGACAATAATGTCCTTTTTGTTAAAAATTTGTCTTGAGCATTATTTAAGGTAGAAGTTTTGCGATTTCAGGACTTTAGGTTTCAATTTATGAACTCAATTAGGGTATTGGAGAAGCCATTGAATTTGAATTACATTCACTTTAGAGGAGATAACCGGACAATACTGGATGGGACATTGGTGTTTGATTCAGCGAACAAGGTGTCAGCCAATCATGTGCTGGGTTCGAGAGGTTGTAAATTGAAGTACAGTTATGTTCATGGAGGACTCACTACTTTCGAGCCAAGCTATGATATGACAAAGAATTCTTGGGATTTTGCAGTGTCGCATAAAGTTTATAGGGATGATGTGTGTAGGGCTACGTATCAGACGACGAGTAAGAATTTGGGGTTTGAATGGTCGAGGAGCTCCAAGCTAAATGGATCATTTAAGGTACAATTATTTTGTTGTTTGAGTTATATCATTGTTATGGACCTAAATAGAGAAGAATGGATATAGATGATTTACATAAGTGATATCAGCTAATTTGAGATTCACATGTTATTGATTGATTGATTCAATGATTTATGAGTATCTTGTTGGTTGCCTTACTAAATGAGTAATGAAAATTAGGTACGTTTAGATCCTTGTATTGCAATTTAAAATTGGTTGTTTATGTCTATTGGGGTTGTCTGTCTGATCTCTAAAATTATTTGTCAGTTGCAATCCTTTACGTAGATTACTTTGATTAGTTCAGTATTTGATATCATGTTGATTGTTTTTGCTGATTAAAGTCCTTGTTGGCGGACAAGCATTGAAAGTAGAGACAATTGATACTCACAATAAAGCTGTCTTTTACTTGAAGATACAGATCGTGTTTTGAGACTTTTTTTTATTTATTGAAGGATGAGTTTTGAGACAATTGATACTCACAACAAAACTGTCTCCTAGTACGAAATTGAAGAATGAGGATTTTACTTATAATATGCATTCCTTTAAGCAATCAAAGCGACCTTCCACCAATTCTATTAGAAATGAATCTTATACTCCACTTTGATAGGATTCAATATGCCAAAGTTTATATGAATGCCTGCTAGTTCCATTGTTCTTGCAGGCATCTCTGCAGTGCTTTCACTGTGAGATAATCCACAACATAGAATTGTTAGCTGTCGAAACAAGTTAGCTCAAGGAAATGGAATTGTATAAAAGGATGGTAGTAAACTGATAAAAAAATTGTTTAATTTGGAGTACATCTTCTCCAGTTTTCCATACTCTTTCTGCAGGGGTTGCCTTCCCCATTGGTGCCCTTCTTTATTACACTTCCACGTAAAAACAAGACGATATTATCTGTCTGGTTTATCAAAGTGCTAAGTGGTGCATACTTTCTTTGTACTGCTTTGTTTTAAAATGGGTCACTTGTCAGTCGTTTCAAGTTGTTTGCAAGTTGTTTGCTCTGCTAGGTTTTGTTTGTTTCATTGATTAATTTCTGCCCACAACGTGACAATCTTTGACATTTTCTTCAAAGTAATAAATTGCAAGTCAGCAGGCAAGGGATAACCTAAGAAGTCCTATCGCTCCTAGACATCACAAGTTTAGTGCTTGATCAATTAATAGCTTGCAAGGCCACAAGTCTAAGAAAGTATAAAAATATGAAGGTTTCTTTTATGGTTTAGTAATTGAAAAATCACTTTCTGATATTCATTTTATTGACTCATTTGTTGGTTACTTTTCTTCTTTGTTTTTTAGATGCACAAGTGATTATGATATTTTTTCTGCAGTGAGCCCCTTGTAGGTTATTTAGTTGGTCCTGTTCGAGCCAGTTATTTAGTTGTCTTTTCTTTTTTGTTAGAGTGAATAAATTATTATAACTTCTCCTTATTTTTTGCTTTTCCACATCTATTCAAATTGAGAAAATGCTTAAAGAAATTGTAAATTTGAGGAAATAATTAGAGGAAGATTTTGAAAAATAGAGATGAGGGAAAAATAAAGGTAAGTTATAAATTTTAGGAAATATTTAGGGGATATTTCAAAAAGATATAGGAAAGCCAGAAGTAAGGGGATTACAAATGTGAGAAAATGTTTTGAAAAGATAAGGAAGAGTTAAAGTCGGGTGTGTGCAAGCTGGTCCCATGATCACCTTGTCCCTTAAAAAAGGATGGGGAAGAGTTAAAAAAGTGGAAGTTATAAAACGAGACTTTGAAAAGATATGGAAGAGCTAAATATAAGAAGTATAATTTTGAGGAAATTTTCTTAACACTGTAGATCTGGTAAGCTAATTGCTAGCTCTTTTTGGAGGACTTCTGATCCTGTCCAATCTGGGTACGCTAGCACTGCCACTAGCCAAGGAGTGTGGGCCAGTCCAGGCTCATCCCTTTGTGAGTCCTAGTCCTGTTAACGGGTCAACTTTCCTGTTAGTCATGTTAAATTCCCACCAAGCCGCCATTGTGGGTGGCACACCATCATCCGCGTATTACCAAGAAGTAAAAGGTGGATTTTCTAGATAATTCATTGACTCATACCATCCTTCAAGCAACTAATATGAGCAAGATGAGTCACTCAACACTTCTTCTTCCAGACTTATGTTGAGAATTGAAAACATGCACAAGTTTGATGTTAAATGTTTGATTCGTGTCCAACTGCATTCTCTGGTATTTCCTTGTATAGCAAATCAGAGAAGCAGAGTCAGTTTCTTGTTTATTTTTCCTTTTTTGACATTTTCTTTTACTATGTCCGCGAAGACAATACATGTGCAATTAACATAATGATGATTTATATCATGTTTGTGTGGTGTGAGTTATAGTAATACCAAAAAATTAAACTTCGGATAGATTTCTACTTGGCCAATATGTGTTGCTGACTTGTTCTCTTCGTTTCATCTTTTGACAGCTAAAACATCTAAAATAGTATACTTTATTTTTTATGTTGTTTTCCTCTCCCTGCAACCAGACTCTGATACTAAGTTATTCTTGCTCCAGGTTGCTGCATCTCTCTGTTTGGCTGACGAACTTAAAATGCCAAAGTTAACTGCTGAGAGTTCGTGGGACTTTGACATATGATTCTTTCTGCATTTTTGTTCTGCAATTATTCTAACATGATACTATTTCCAGCCACCAATTATAATTGGCTACATATGATGGTTTTCATATAGTGGTTGTATTCACTAGTGACCTTCCATGATACTATTTCCAGCCACCAATTATAATTGTATTCGGCCAGTATATTATACTGCAGAACCTTTTCCCATTCAAATTTCAGCACTCTGCTGTTTTGATGCCTTGAGCTTTCGTCTGAACATCTCCCATTTCACCTCCTGTAGCAACCTCATACATTTGCTTCGTATTTCCTTTATGGAAGGCTGATTACATTTGGCGCCTTGCAGTATTCAACAGGTTAGACAAATACTTGAATACCCTGTCAAACTATAATTCGCCTCCATTTTTCCATTTTGTCGAATTTCTTTCTGGTTAAGGAATCTCTATTACTATTTTTTTTTTTTTTGAATAATTAGGAGATTCTCTAGAAAAAATACGGGATTTTACTTCTAAGAGCAACATACTTGATCCTGCTTATTTGGGTTATTGTATGGTTTGGTTTGCCACCCTTCAGGGGCGGATGGGGTGTCCGAACCTTCTTGGGCGGAGAATCACTTTGTATATATGTATACGGTCGAAATAGATTTTGGCCTTTCTACGTTCGATCGAGTTCGAGTGTTAAAAAGTCGGAATGAGATTTTGGGAGTGAGCTCTGAAGTCGGTACTAACGAGCCTCGAGCTCGAAGGTCGCTTGAGGAGTCGGCTCGATAATCCTATCGAGCCCGTGACCGAATCGATCTGCAAGGCACTGCTTCGAGGTCGGAAATGCGTGACGCCCATCTCGAAGGTCGAACTCGAGCCAAGACCGTAGGGCCCGACCCAGTAACGAGTTCGAGCCAGTATCGAACTTGCAGACAAAAGCCGTTGCGACCGCACCAAGAGAGAGAATCTTGGCGGGAATCAAGGAAGAGACAAGTCATCATGGGCCTTCCACTATATGTTTTATTTTATTGTTTTTTTGTAATGACCCTCTTCTATAAAAAGGGATCCTTGTAAGCTAAAGAGGACAGAGACAAAAAATCACATATCCCTTTGTGTTTGCTTTACTTTATCTCATTCATTCTTATTGCCCACTATTTGCATTTTCACAGTCAAGAATATACGTATCTCTATTTCTCTACATGATTTATATCGAATTGTATTGCATATCCTTAGAATCATACACAAAATCTAACGTTATCCGATTTTTCCAGTAAACAATATATAAGATCAAATTTATTATTATGTACTAGACGCCCCTTCCCTCCCCATAGATCAATAAAATCAAAATGAATTTACTATTTTATTTTGGCCAACGACAGCTATAGCGCAGGTCTTGAACATATTGCAAATTCAGGTTAGACGAAATCTAAATAAATGTTCAGTGACTATTCGACTTGGAAAATGAACTAAGATGAAGTTCATTGGAAAATCAAACATCTTCTACAGATGCAATATGACACATATTGTTGCCATTAGATGGACCACATAGAGAAAGGCTTCTGGAAACCAGACAATGCCCTGGAAAACCTAGTTCTTTTTTTCCCTTGGAAATTTATTGCATATACCATGTGATTTTATCCAGTCACCTCGTTCTCACATACTCTTCTCCACTGCTATCTTTGTCGGACACTGTGACGTAGCTATTCCAAATTTTCTGATATTTTGAATCTAGACTAGATGCGAAGAAACTTCGGTCCAAACAGACTCCTAAAAGTCACTTGAACAGATACCAAAAAGCCTAACGATTATTATGTAGAACACAACACAATCTTGGAGTCCTAATTGCTTCTTTTTCACACTAATAACCTTTCAGAGTACTAACCCTTCAAAATTCCCACGTTTTAATAGAAATGAAGGGATGCTTGATTAAGAGTCCTTACTGGAATTGATAAGGATTCATTGTCCCACAACGTTAGCAATTCATATTGGAGGGTAAGGGTAGTGTTCAATGGGTCCCACATTTTGTATTTTTTAATTTTAATTTTTTATTTTTTTACCTTTATTAGAATGTATATTTACCACTTTGTACAAGAAGGCTGTTGGAATAGTGTTTGAATCTAAGGGCAAAACCGTCACGCAGATTTTGATGGATAAATTTGTAATTTAGCTTTTGACTTAAAGTGTTCCCGCTTTTAATATAGTAAATAGATAGATGTTGAATCCCTTGGTTAAAATCCACCTTGCCTCCGCCAGTGTCACCCTTAACAACTATGTTTTTCTCACCCACGATATCGTGGTTCTATTTTCTTGAGCGCTGGTCAATTGATCGTCTCTTCTTTCAAATTCCCTTTGCTTCTGAGTCGTTGTAAATACTATTATGAAATTCGTCAGATGCAGGTAGAACTTGAAGAAATAACAATTATTATCCTACGTTGCTAACATTCACGAGTTTTTCAACCATTCATTTTCGACAGCATACAAAGTGTTTATAATTTATATATAAGAAAGAATGATTTATAAAATACTAGATAATTATCACGGGATTCATATTTTAGAAATTTTTATAAATTTTAATTTGTCTATTATGCCCTTTAATTCAAACGTTATCCATGATTGTTTAAAGACAAATCAAATAAAGACACTTTTCACTAATATACTATTTTATTTCTAAAAGACACATATTATGAATTTTTAAAAATAATATGAACCAAACAATTTATATTTTAAACTACCAATGGTATAGGGAGTGGTTGTATACTAGTATATTCGAAGTCCCATAAAAGTAGAGCTAGCCGGAAAACATTCATTAGTCCCATTTATATGAAATCATAATCACCATTCACCTCAACGTATGTGCAAGACCCAAATATATCACTATTTATTTTTATTTATAGGGACGCTCCATCTAGATTACTTCAAATACAAGTACCTCCTATTTTATTTTTGAGAGTAAGAAGGAATTGACACATGCAGCAACTTTTATGCACCACACGTTCAATGAACAAGAAAATATGGGCTCATTCAGCTGGTTATATGAGAAAAAAATAAATAATTTGAACATAAAATTGTGCACTATGTTTTTTGATATAAATTTTACATTGCTTAACATTTGATTTTCAATCTAAATTCTTTTTACAAGAAAGAATGTACTCCCTCCGTTCCAGTTTATGTGAACATATTTTCTTTTTGATCCGTTCCAAAAAGAATGACTCCTTTCTAAATTTGAAAACAATTTATCTTAAACTTACAATTCTACCCTTAATGAGAAGCTTTTATAACCACACAAATACTCGGGGCCCCTTTTTGACTTGTTTAGGACCACAAATTCTAAAAGTCTTCAATTTTTCTTAAACTCCGTACCCAATCAAACAGGTTCATATAAATTAAAACGGATGGAGTATATAATATGTTATTCGTGATCGAATATTCAATAAAAATAGATAGAGATCGAAGCAGGCGCGGATTTAAGTGGAGGGGGTGGGGTACATACACCCATGCTCCAGTGGCGGACTCAGAATTTTGTGCAAACGGGTTCAATATTAGAAGTACGTAACTTTAGTCATAAAATAATAGTTGTCAAGTGGGTTCAAATAAAATATTTATACAAAATTTACGCAATTTTAATCCTAATTTATACATATACACAATATTATTTTTTAATAAAGCGGGTTCAGTTGAACCCGCTTGTCACCACGTGCGTCCGCCACTACCATGCTTCCCTCCCTAGGCTAAGTATAAATAGTACTAATTTTATAATTATGTATATAAATATGTTTGTGGCCATCCATGCTCCATTGACTACCTTGCTACACTGGTAAGTTGGTGCCCATGTTTCCCCCGTTCAAGGGTTCGATTCCCCGTCCCTTTATGTTTTTTTACATTAATTATTTTTAATATTTAAAAGTCCCTTTTGTACTGTTACAGTGGTATGTGGATTCTTCAGGAAAGCAGCAATTTCTTCTCCATGTTCCTTTAAAATTCTCATATATGTAACTACTCTCTCTCTCTCTCTCCTTGCTCTGTGCTTCAATTCACTCGTTGCAACTTCCTTCTCCTCTTGCTATTCCTCGCTCTCTCTTTTCCCGTTCTGCTCAATGTTTGAATCTCGTGCCAAGATTTTATCTTGTTGATAGTGATTATGATTGTTTATTTCTGAAATGAGAACCCGTTGAATGCTATTTCTAGTGGGAATTTGGGAGGGCTAGGGCTAGGGCTTTGAAGTCTTGAATTTTGATAGTTTATTGAATTTGTGCACATATTATGTTTGAATTTTTTTTTGGCCAAGTCAAAGATTGAAATCCATGGGAAAAAGAATTTATGCGAAGGAATTTAGTGGGACAATAATTTAAGTTTAAAATATCACCAAATTAAACAAGTATAAATGTTTCATATTAATTTGAACAAAATATAAGAGCTTTTCAAACTAAGCAACAAAGTCATGAAGTGCTCACAAGATTGATAGTGCAAGAAGTGGCATATAGAGGAAGTTTGAGGCCAAAGATAGCTAGGAGATTGAATGATTTGAATTTTTATCCTTAGAATAGTGAGTTACTGAGAAAGTGAGGCATATGTAGGCTTTTGGCTTCTGTTACTTGGGACCTCTGTCCAAGTTTCAGTTTTGTTTTAAAACCAAACAATATAGTTATTAGTTATTGAAAAAGTTGCTCCAATCCATACACAATTAGAGTGTATAAGTTCAAACATATATGTACATATGCCTAGTTTTTATTGCTATCGCAAGCGCGGAAAGAACATTATCATCAATGAAATACATCAAAAAAGATCTACGTAATAGGATGGATGGTGATTTTTTAAATGATTGTTTAGTTTGTTATATAAAACGTAAAATATTCAAAATTGTAAGTAATTATGCTATTATCAATAGTTTTCAAAGTATGAAAACTTGTCCATCGAAATGTAATTTCATAGACAATATAAAGGTTATGTATAATTAGGGTATCCCTCTAATTTAATCCAAACGTGTGTCCGCGTGCTCTTTTTTTTTTTTTTTTTTTTTTTTTTCTTTTCCGTTTTTAATGGTCTAACCATATATGACAGAGTAAAACATTCCAAAATTGGATTTGAAAAGTCAAAACTTGCAAATTTGTGATTATTAGGGTTTGTTGGTTGGAGAGAGATTAACTGAGCCCTAAGCTCAGCTCAAAGAGAGAGAAATAGAGAGAGAAGCCTCCAACCTAACAAACCCTAAGATTTGTATGACAACAAATCAAGAAATTCTTGGGGCATTTAAAAAACATATTATTTGGAGCTCTTAGCTTTTGTGATTGCAATTATCATCTATAAAGGTGCAATCTTTGAACCCTTCTTCTTTGTTTTTATTATGGGTCTCTGCTCAACAGTCTAATCTGATTATTATTATTTTTATTTTAAATTTGTGGATGAAAACGCTTGAGTTTGTGTGACTCTTGTGTTCCTGTTTTGTGGGTGTTTACCTCCTGCTNTGTATCCCCAAATTATTGATTATTGGAATGAAACATGCCGAAATAGAGGGAGAGGATATAGAGAATATATATAGGCGATCCCACGAGATTGATTTTGGAGGGGAGATCTTGTAGTTATTGGTGGTTTGAAAGTATATTATAGGTTAAATATCAACTACCTAATCCAACTACAACTTGTTGCGCTCCTGCTACTAAGAAATTCAACAGTCCCAATTTATTGGACACGAATAGAGCGTAATGGATAGTGTATTCATATAAACAATTTCAACTGATTTGGCATTGAGGCTTATTTATTGATGTTTTGGTTCTTTACTTCTCTCTAAGAGTGGGCTGTGAATTTAGATGAATAAGCAATAGTTTCTTCATGCTCCTTTTTCCTAGAAAAAAAATAGTTGGTGAGTTTTTGTGCGGCTCTTCTTGACTAGTTTTAACTTAATATGAGATCAAAGGAACAATTGTCGTGCTCGTCTTGGACCTTGTCGTGCCTATTTGGGCTGGTTAGGACTTAGGCTCATGCAATGCCGGCATCAACGAGGAATGCTACTAAAAGAATATCAGATCAAAGGAGACTCTTTTAATATTACCTACATATGCACTAATGTTTATTGCCTCCAAGTACAGTTGTTCTCCCAAGTTTATTTTTTCATGGTTTCTTTCTCATGATATTCTCTTTCATGTTCTGTAGGTTTCTGGGTTCTCAAAAGTTATATTGGAGAAGGGAGGTAGTGAATGAATTGATGTTTGTTAATAAATGTACTGAGCGTAATGATAGTTCTTGTGTATAGTGGTGGTGGTGGTTGTGTTTTTTCCTATAAAGAGGTGCAAGAAAATCAGCTGTGGTTGATAAGCCGACATGCCGAGTAATTATCTTTTCAGATTAAGCCGTGCAGCTAGGCAGGGACTCCAGAAATCTATTTCTGGGCAAGAAAGTGGGCTCCAGGACTCAGTAGAGATTTTGGTTGGCCAAGGGAGATTGTTGTTGGGCAATTCAAAGAGCTTCTATTCCATACCATTTGCAAGATCAACTGACCTAAATGTGTTTGTGCGGCCTGGAACTTTAGCTGCCACACAGGCAAATTTGCATATAGTCAACCAGAAAAAGAATCTTTCTGTAGTTGGATCTATTTCTCGTGCAATTTCTATTCCGTCTGTATCAGGGCCTGCATTTCAGGTCTGTGGCTATCACATTGATCGCTTGATATCTGAGCCTACTCAAGGTTTGTTGGACACTAAGTATCACAAAGCACCTATGGAGATCTGTGGTTCAAGAATTTTTCCGCCTGGCTGTTCCTCAAGTAAAATGGCTTCAAGGCATCTCAATTCTGTTTTGGCTGTTAATAGTCCTGTTACTTCTTATAGCAATAGAAGCTTTAATTGTAGAAAAACCAGCATGAGTTTGAGAAATAAAAATCAGCCCAACAACTTCTTACTTTACGGATACTTCGCATACAATGTAGCAAANCAATCCTGTTTTGGCTGTAAATAGTCCAGTTACTTCTTATAGCAATAGAAGCTTTAATTGTAGAAAAGCCAGCATGAGTTTGAGAAATAAAAATCAGCCCAACAACTTCTTACTTTACGGATACTTCGCATACAATGTGGCAAAGAGAAAGGGAAATTCTAATCTATATGAAGGTTTTGGATTGACGGGGTTCCACACTTCATCACCTGCTTGTTCCCCTGCGGGCACTGCTCCTGATGTGTCCTTTGGTAACTCTACATGCGAGGTGCAGCTTTCAAGTTCAGCAGATTCTTCCGAACAGTATGTTTCCTTACATAACTTTGATATTCTTATTCAACTAGCTGAAATTCATGTAGCTGAACTTTTCAGTGCTGATTATGCACTGACATTTAAAAAGAAAAAGATAATATGTGAACTACAGATGTCTACGGCAATATTAATGACTTGAACACTACCCTTAGTACATAGAAACTTAAAACATTTTGTGGTTAAATAACTTTGAGGAAATTGTGTGAGTTGTGATTCTAATCATTTGCGTTCTTTAACGAAATTGTGCGATTTGAGCTCCTAATTATATGCGTTTAAAATTTAATTTCAAGAGCTCAAATGGAGGTATTAGCATGTGACTTCCTTCAGAGGTTGTCTTGTTAGGATGTGTGGAGCTAGTTCAACCAAACCTCCAACCCTGTTTGCATATCTCCTCAAACTCTTCCCGTCCCGGAGTATAGTTTTTAGACGTCCTTCGTGAATTTAGTTTCTTACATCCAAATATTAATGCCAGAAGAAAATTCAAGAACTGAAAGGGTTGAGAAATATTGCCTCCTTACGGACTTTACACCTAACCTAAATTAAGAAATGAAAGAAGTCATTTGTTAGCTTGTACCTTTTGGGATAATATTTTCTTTTATTCGCCTGTGCTCAGTGTTATTAAAAGCTATTGCTTTGTCACTTAAAGCGATAAAGCGATGCGAAGCTAGTGGTTTCGCTTTATAGGTGAAGCCATGCACTTCATAAATGTGTGCCCGTCAAATAATGATGCGCAAGGTGATCCTAGCGAGAAGATGACAGTTCTTTGAATTTCATCTTTTGGGGATGGACTTATATTGAGATTACTGTACATTGGATACTGAAATTAGTTATATTAATTACAATTTGATCATTATAGTACTAAATTCATAGATGCTTGGTATTTTCTAATGTTGTAAATGTGCGCTTCACTTCTCGCTTTTCGCTTCAAGTCCCTTGGACCTTATCTCTTTTTTAAGCTTTTCTCTTTTAAAAACACTTCCCGTGCTTCATAACTATATATGCCAATGTCAAACTCTGTAAATGAAAAAAAAAGAGCAAAAAAATGCTATCGAAGACCTATTAAAATATTGAATGTGCAAGTAGCTTGGTCCCTACTAGCTTGGAATTGAGGCATTGATGTTATTAGAATATTAGATGCTTAATTTAATTTATCTACCACCATGAGCAAAGCTACTAGATGATTTCAGGGTAGGTACTCGAGTAAAAATATATAACAAAAATTATCATGTAAGTTTCTCAAGGCTAGCAACTGGTGTGGGAAGCTTTTGTCTTGTTCAGTTGTTCGAAACCTTTTGTTAAGCTGTCATCTATCTCTCTGGAAGAATCGTTGGGTTTATTTCAGCTCACTAAATGAGAACTTGTGACTAATTTGGAAAGAGGAAACTGTGACTTATACCTTTTGCTATAGAGGGCCAAGTTTTTTGCTTAGTCATTATGCAGATCTGGAGCATATTACGTATTCCCTCCTTGGTGGCCTGTAGACCATTTATCAAAAAATAATTACAGGCAGCTTATTTACTTTACATTGAATTGGGAAGTTTTTCTTTTCAGCTGTATTGTTTCATTTGTCCAATTGTAGGAATATCCACATTGACAGAACCCTGAAGCTAAACTCAGGATCATGTTACCTGCCCCATCCTGACAAAGAAGAAACAGGTGGAGAGGATGCTCATTTTATTTGTGGTGATGAACAAGCAATTGGTGTAGCTGATGGTGTTGGTGGTTGGGCTGATCTTGGTGTTGATGCTGGGCAGTATGCACGAGAGCTCATGTCTAACTCAGTAACTGCGATTCAAGATGAACCAAAACGTTCAGTGGACCCAGCCAGGGTCCTCGATAAAGCTTATACATGCACAAAAGCCAAAGGTTCCTCAACTGCCTGTATAATCGCCCTTACAGATCAGGTACATGTGCAATTCTAGATCTTCTATTCTAATTCATGAAGCTTGGACTTTAGAAATAGGTGCCTTGCGGGTTTGAGCTTGGCCGTTGATTCATTGGTGTCTTCAGATGCTGAGGATTCTTTTAATTTGATGTTTCCCTTATACGCCAGACTTCTCAGACATTTTAGTAATGTATATAACTAGGTGCACAGAACTTTCTTCTAGTCTTATGATTAAAACAGGGAATAAAAGATTAATATGGTAACTTTGGAAGGCAGTTAAAACTTATAAAAAGAAAAATGAATCTAGAACTTAACATCATTAAGTTAACTTATCATTTTTCCTCTTTCCAGGGCCTGCATGCCATTAATTTAGGAGACAGTGGATTTATGGTGGTTAGAGATGGATGTACTGTTTTCAGATCCCCTGTGCAGCAGCATGATTTCAATTTCACATATCAACTAGAGAGCGGTAACTCTGGTGACTTACCAAGCTCTGGAGAGGTCAGTAGTGCCCCCTTTTCCTTAATGTAGAACTCGTGTGGTAATGTAGAACTTGGTTTAGAGCTTCCGTTTTTTCCAAAATCTGGACAATATTTTTAATACTCAAATAAAAGATAATTTTTTTTTGAAACTTACTCAAATAAAAGATATTTCAGAAGCCTTTTTTATTGTGTTGTTCTTTGTTGACTGTTCTATGTCATTCAGAGAGCAAAGAGTTGGGGTTCAGGTGATGTTTTTAGATTGTTCTCTTACAGTTTTGTACAATAATTTTTTTGTTAAACATAATATGGAGAAAAACCTTTTCAATTGTGTTCAAATGCATTCCCTCATGGTTTACTCGTAGAGGTGAATCTTGAGAAGTGTACCATGCTTTAGAAATCTGTTATTCTGTTTTTAGACTTCTTAGCTAAAATTGCCTCGCGGTTCTTGTCCTCTATTTTTGTTTCTTAGTTTTGACAAATGCCACTTCTTTTCAGTTATTGACCAGAACTATATTGATCGTCTTGTAATCACTATATTTGTATCACAGTTCTCTCTTAATCTGAATGACTTGCCTGTGTTGCAGGTGTTCAAAATACCGGTGGCACCAGGAGATGTTATAATAGCTGGTACTGATGGGTTGTTTGACAATTTGTACAACAATGATATTACTGCAATTGTGGTTCATGCAACAAGAGCTGGCTTAGGGCCACAGGTGACAGCTCAAAAGATAGCTGCTTTGGCTCGGCAAAGAGCACAGGATAAAAACAGGCAGACTCCTTTCTCTGCTGCAGCCCAAGAAGCTGGGTTCCGTTACTATGGCGGGAAGCTGGACGATATAACTGTGGTTGTCTCCTACATAAGCAGTGACAGAAATGTATGAGCACTTTGTATATCCGCCACCACCCCTTCTTTTAATCTCCATAGCTTGCAGGTCTTAGGTTCTTTATTTGCCTACATTTGTTCAATTTTTTTGCATGGACATGTCGTCCGTCAGTTCAGTTTAGCACTGGATATGCTTAATTGTTCTATCATATTCTACACTAAACAGCTTTGTCAACCTTTCAAACACAGACCCTACTTCATTTTTCTCTCTAAATATAACTTTACTACCTGTGGAGGGTGCTGTATCTTGTTTCAGTACCCCAAGTTTCCGTTAAAATTTACCTTATCAACAAAAAGAAAATCCCCAAAAGTTTCCTTTTAAAAACATTGCCTCATGCCTATGTTGCCCCTACTCTTCATTTAAGTTTGTCTTCATTCTGACATTCCCTATGGAGCATATCATTTTAATACTTTGATGACATCTGTAGTGCGCAATTGGTATTGGTTTTATAAGGCTCAATTATTACGATATTGTTACTATTTTGATTGATCTAAGTTTTTTCTTAAAAAAATTATGTTTTTTAATATAAATTATTTTATTTCCTAGTTTCTACTCTTTCCTATCATTGTTTTACAAAAACCTTCATCCATGTTAACATATTATTCAATATAGCGTCACTTATCAAACCACTGCTGTGAAGCACCTTTGAACTTAAAGAATCTCAGTATGTTACAATTTAAATTTAGGCAGTTGATAGTGCTTTTCTCATAGTTACTTTTGATTTTTCGTCCTGTATTCTGGTTCGAATTGATTGGTTATGTAGGTTATATTCTTATACTTTATCAAAAGGTTTGTTTTTATGTTGCTCAAGTCCATTTCCTTTTTCAAAGTAGAAGCTGAAGCTTACTTTTGTGTACGATTTTATGGAAAATGGAAACTGATGTTTTTTTTAACCTGTTATGTGCAGGAAAGATCCAATGGCTTACAGATGTAGTTGAGAGCTTTCATACTTGCTTTGAAACGCTTGGCTTGGGGGCACATGTTTTAAGCTCCATTTAAAGGGGATGTCAAACCTTGCATAATATCGTGTGAATGTGTCGAATATCACTTTTGATTTACTTGTTTCTTGGCAATTTACCCCCTCTTTCAAACTTCATGGACCTCACCCAAAAAAGGTAGATCGCGAACCTCTCCCTCTTTCTCTCTCCCTCCCCGCTTAGGGGAAGATCATGAGTACTGATCATGTATATGGAATAGGTGTTAGACAGAAAGGTGCTCCTATGGTGCTTGATATAGGAATTGTCTTTCTGGAAATATGTTGGTTTCCATAGAATGCTAGCTAGGACACATTAACTTGCAGAATTAAGCTTTCTTGAATTCTTTGGAACTGAATTCTTGTCATCTTCCTATTGTAATAATTCTTTGGACATGATTTTCCCACTGGCTGTAAATAGACGAGCATTTTCGTTTTTCCTGTGTTTCTTTTTTGTTTATTTGGTTGACTTGTTTGAGGTTGAGCTAGTCGAAATTTTAATTTTGTAAAATCTCTGAGCTGGTCTAACTTTGTAGTGATTATCTTTATACTGATAATTTGAATCTGGTCTTTGAAGATCAAATATTGATATTCCAACATGCTAATATTTGAGTAGAGAGGAAATTATGAGATAGGTCGCTACACCTTGTATATATTTTTCAACCATGAAAACTTAAGTTGTGTTAAAGTTTGCTATCAGTTACAACAACAAATCGGTACTGCGCTTCAGTAACGTCTAACGTGCTGTCGAAGTGGCTGTTGATCTAAACCAGGACTTTAGCACCAGTTCTATGTGGCCTTATAGTAATTCATTGTTGTTGGATTGTATAAATCATTTTATCTAAAAGTTTAAATCGTTATAGAGCAATATTATTTATTTATTTTTGGCCGGTTAATGTAATTCCCGTTTGCTGTGAAGTCCGTGACTTCATTTTCCTGCACCCTTCTATATCTTGTGTTTTTTAAGAGTTTATTAATCTTTCTTTGTTGGAATGAGACTATTTGACATAGAGGACTAATAGCAGGATAAAGTAATTGAATCTGTTAAGAGGTAACAGATATACTTAAATTTACTGACAATCAATTAAGAGATAGATATACTTAAATTAATTTTCATAACATTAAACTGAGATGAACTTAAATGCAGCTCTTTGTAATTAATAAAAGCATTTTAATGAGTTACCAAAAAAAATGCAGCGAGATGGACATTATGACCTTAGATTTGACATAAACTCTACAGTTTACTTAACCAAGAAATGTAGGAGTGTACATCAGGGTCGATAATATTACAATATTTTTGTGTGAAAGAGTGCTCGTCTTATTTTCTTTTAAATAATATGAACTGATGTTACCTATGTAGGATCAAAATACTTTACAAGGACAATGGTTCGTTATTTCATACCTAACTACGTCTAAGTCACAATCTGCATCAAGTTTTTTCGAGTAGTAGATTTCTTAGATTTAATAAACAAAAGTTAATTTTAAGTATAATCTTAAACTCCCCCCCAGGTAAATGAGTAACATGTTTAGCAGCATGAACGATTGAAAATAATCCTCAAATAAGACCTGATAAATTATTACTAGAAAAAAAATGTATAAGCTTATAAACAATTAAAAAATCTCAAAAATCCCTTATTATGAGTATGACTAATCACTTCATTAAAATCATAATAAAATCAGTCAACAGGATTATGTTACTACTATTCTCGCCATAAAAAAGAATAGTGTAGAGTAAGCACAAGTGTCAGTACATGTAATTTTTTTGTGTGTAAATTCTGGTATTAATATTTTAAGTAAGCTGTGTATTTAAAAACTATATATACGAGTTTTATTTGTAGTTAAATATCTTTACAAAAATCGTAGTCACCATAAAACTATTTGACTTTGCAACCTTTCTTTTAAATGCAAGAGCTCCAAAAGTTAAAGTGGTCATTCTCAGTCACAAACAACACTGTCCGCTACTCCATACAATAAGTCTTTCCACTACTTGACTTTAACCTTTGCTCTCTGTATAAAAAATGGAGTTTCGTAGACTTTGATTCATTTCACGAATCAATCAAACACCACAAATTTGCAACTTTTTTGGGTCTGGAGTTTTGATCTTTTCAGCTAAATGGAGGCTCATAGTGAAAAGTGCGACCAATATGTAGGAAGATCAAGAATTGCTGCAGCAACTGTAATTGGTGTTCTTGTGGGATGTGTCTTTGCTTTCTTTTATCCCTATGGGTTCTTTTCTCTTGATCCACAAGCTCAAACTCGGACTCTTTCTAAATATAGTGTTTTGGTAAGTGTCTCTGCACATATTTCTCTGCTACTTATATGCTAGCTCTACAGCTAACGTTTACAACATGCAAAATATATTTTACATCAGATGCTTTTTTTTATCTACTTTTTGTTTGAGGTGGGAGACGGAGTTACAACGGGTTGGAAAATTTTCACTTTGTTTTTTTTCATGCTTTAGAGAATTAATTAATTCCTTAAAAAGACAGACATAATACATAGACGATCACCTAATTTTGTCCTGGTTTATCATCTAGATAGCTAAAATAGGAGTTGGAGACATATTGAACGCCTTGTGTTATCGCAAATATATTCCTACAATTTCTACATATGACATTTGATATAATTAATGGCCATAATGTCATTTGATGAGTGTTGAACTAGCTTAATTGTTGAAATTTAATTCATAGGTAGAGTAGTGGTCATGTGAATCCACGGATTGGATAAACATGTTGAGATCATACATTAGGAGGTTATCGGCAAAGAATGCAGAGTTGCAGAAGCAGGTAAGAGAGCTAACTGAAAAACTTCAGATGGCTGAGCAGGGAAAATGTCGTGCCGAGGAGCAGCCTGTGGTGTTAACTGAACCTAAAAAAGCTGGACCATTTGGCAAAGTCAAGAGTATGAGAACTAACCCGCCTGTCCTTCCTGAGGAATCTGTGAACCCGAGACTAGCTAAGTTATTGGCAGAGGTTGCAGTTGAGAAAGAGGTCATAGTTGTACTTGCCAATTCAAATGTGAAATCAATGCTGGAAGTTTGGTTCACCAGTATAAAAAGGGTGGGTGTCCCCAATTATCTGGTCGTCAAAACGCAGTCTCTGTTTACAAGAGAGATCCTGATGAGAATGTTGATTTTATTGGCAAAACTGGAAGTAACCAAGCTGTGTCAGGTCTAAACTCTAAAGTTCCGTATTCTGAGAGAGTTCTTGCAGCTTGGTTGTAGTGTCTTGCTTTCTGATCTTGACATTGTGTATCTGCAAAATCCATTTGATTATCTATACCGGGATTCAGACGTAGAGTCAATGTCAGATGGTCACAATAACATAACAGCTTATGGTTACAACGACGTTTTTGATGAACCTGATATGGGTTGGGGTCGATACGTTCATACAATGAGAATATGGGTGTACAATTCTGGTTTCTTTTATATCCGACCAACCATTCCTGCATTTGAGCTCTTGGATCGCGTTGCTGATAGGCTTACTCAGGAGCCAAATTCTTGGGACCAGGCTGTTTTCAATGAAGAGTTAGCCTTTCCATCGCATCCTGGATACATTGGGCTGTTGAGGTTTTTTATTTAAGATGAAATAGTCTTAAAATGAGGGTGAATGAGAAATGGAGGGAAAAATAAAATTTTTAATTAAAATTTTAAGTTTTCCCCTCTTGACAATGAGACATTGTCCTATATTGGAAGAGGAAAAGATTTTTGGTGGGTATATATATAATTGTTCTTCTTGTAGCTCTTAAAGAGTTAAGAAGAAAGCAAGCCTCGCGCCGTCATCATCGTCGCTCGGCTCGGATTCGGATTCGGTCAAATGATCGATTGATTAATTTTTTGGACTAAATTTATTTGTTAATAGTAAATATTAACGTAAGATTATCCGCATTTGTAACGGATATGTTCAAATCCGTATATTGACCACTGCATTTGTAACGGCTTGTCGATGTTTGTGTCATTCTTTTACAGAAAAAATGACGACTGAAAGCGAAAACCAAGCTATTCCGACGGTGACTGCCAACGCATCGACAAGCCGAATACCGGTGTTGGCACCGGCAGAAAAATCCGAAAAATTTTTCGGGATTGATTTCAAGCGCTGGCAGCAGAAGATGTTCTTCTACTTAACTATGTTATGTCTACAGAAGTTCATCAAGGAAGATGTTCCTAATCTGCCAGATAAAACTCCAGAGAATGAACGCTTTATCGTGATTGAAGCGCGGAAGCATTCTGATTTTTTATGCAAGGATTATATTCTTAGCGGACTGGATGATAATCTGTATAATGTATACAGTGGCGTGGAGACGTCAAAAGAATTGTGGAATG